TTGGACTCTACACCCTGCTATTGATTGCTTGCCATTTGAACGTATTATTCTGTCTAACAGATTTGCCTTTCTTACAACTGGATTACTGTAACGCGATATCAGACGAGGCAGAAAAAAATATCCTGCATGTTTTTCAATGCTTTCAGTCTCGGTTGCGTTAAAGTCACTTTTAAAGCCTGCAGCTTGGATCGAAAAATTGGCCAAACTGCCAACCTGCTACTTTTCAGTATCAAAGAAGGTGCCTTTTCCAGAGCACATCAAAGGAAAACCATCATTACACCCGATCGCTGACTCGCCACCACCTTCCCAGTCGATTTACGTTAACAGTTCTGTTAGTGCTTAAACGTTTGGTCGTTATAAAACGTGGACAATAAACAAAAGGTTGTTTATTAACATATGCTTGCCTGATTTTATCCAAGTGGTGCTGAGAACTACACTTCTGTGCCTCGAGGGCTTGCTGGTTGCCAATTCAGTGGGCATTGCGGAACAATATAATTAAGTGAAATAGTATGATTAGAGTTCGGGCACTGATTAGGAAAAACATTTTTGCGCTCGCACTTGAATTAGCGTGTGAAGAGAGCTCGAATTTTTCAAGGCCAGCATGCAATATGCGTAGGTAAGTTACCTCATGAAATATTGTCCGAGAAAGAGTGGAGCACTTAGCGATCGTGTTACAAGTGTATATTCGTCCGTTTGTGCCATTCGCTTTATTGTAAAGCTATGCCAGCAGCCGCAGGGCGGCTACTGACTGAAGGGGGGAATGAAGGTGCCATTTCTGGCCCATAAGTCACCATCAGCTCGTCATTCTAAACCGCAAGGCGTTGCATTACATGGAAATCAAAACCTGGGTGAGAAGGAATTACGTAGGTTCAGTTATTAGCTTGATGTTCGTGCGGCGAAATCCGAAGATATTTCAGTTAGTTTAGAATGCCGATTTTTAATTTGGTTTTGGTTTTTGCTTTGCATCTATCCGACAGCTTCCAAACTTTTCCTTTCCTATAACGACTACTTAAGTACCACGGACAGTTTCATTAACTGGCAAACGTAAAAAGTACATGCATTATATAGGAGCTTGTATACCACGGGTGCGTTGCCCAAATAGTATAAATAAATAAATTGTAAATAAATTGTAAACAAATAAACAGTATAGATAAATAG